GTTTGCAGATGATTTCCTTAATTACTTGCTCCATTATCTTCCCTGGCACAGAAGTTAAACTAACTGGTCTGTAGTTTCCTGGGTTGTTTTTATTTCCCTTTTTATAGATGGGCACTATATTTGCCCTTTTCCAATCTTCTGGAATCTCTCCCGTCTCCCATGATTTTCCAAAGATAATAGCTAGAGGCTCAGATACCTCCTCTATTAGCTCCTTGAGTATTCTAGGATGCATTTCATCAGGCCCTGGTGACTTGCAGGCATCTAACTTTTCTAAGTATGCTGTCTTCCGACAGCGGCCAATGCCAGGTGCCCCAGAGGGAATGAACAGAACAGGGCAATTATCAAGTGATCCATCCCCTGTTGCCCTCCGAGCTTCTGGCAATGTTGTTTAGCCACGGTGGCATTTTTTGATCCTCTTACTGTTTTTTTCTCTCTCTCTAATTTGGAGTATACATGGAGTTTGAGCCTCTATTATTGTGTTTTTCAGAAGTTCCTATGCAGCTTGCAGGGATTTCATTCTCGGGACTGTTCCTTTTAATTTCTGTTAAACCAGACTCTTCATTTTTGTGTGGTTCCCCTTTTTGAAGTTAAGTGCTACTGTCGTAAGTTTCTTTGCTATTTTCCCCCACACGAGGATGTTAAATTTCATTACATTATGGTCACTATTACTGAGCAGTTCAGCTATATTCACCTCTGGGCCAGGCTCCGTTAGCCACTTAGGACTAAATCAAGAATTGCCTCTCCGCTTGTGGGTTTTAGGACTAGCAGCCTCAAGAAGCAGTCATTAATGGTGTCTCGAAATTTTCTCTGCATCCCATCCTGAAGTGACATGTACCAAGTCAATATGGGATAGTTGAAATCACCCATTATTACCGAGTTTTCGGTTTTTGTAGCTCCTCTAATTTCCCTTAGTGTTTCACAATTACAGTCACCATCCTGGTGAAGTGGTCGTTAGTGTATTCCTACTGCTATACTCTTATTATTCAAGCGTGGAATTTCTATCCATAGAGAATCGATGGTACTGTTTGATTCATTTAAGACTTTTACTGTATTTGACTCTATGCTTTCTTTCACATATAGTGCTACTCCCCCTCCCTCCAGCACAACCTACCTTGTAATTTCTATGTATTTTGTACACTGGTATTACCGTGTACCATTGATTATCCTAACTCTACCAAGTTTCTGTGATGCCTATTATATCACTATCCTCATTTAATACCAGGCATTAATCAGTGCGAGGGGATATCATGACATCATCTGGAAGGAGAATCATTTCCCTCCGCTCCAGCTTCATGTTCCTCCTCGAGACTTCCATCCTCCTCAACAACACAGAGGCTGTCAGACTGAGGATAGGACTGCTCTACTATGTCCTGGAAAGTCTCCTCTATGTACCTCCCTGTCTCCCTTACTTCCTCCAGTTCAGCCACTTTGGTCTCAAGAGCCCGTACTCAGTCTCTGAGGGCCATGAGCTGCTTGCACTGAATGCACACATACGCCACCGGCGCACAAGGCAGGTAACCGTACATGCTGCATTAATGCAATCAATTGGATAGCCCCCACTCTGCTGCTGGACTTCTGCCTGCATTATTTTTACTCTTGCAGGGATGTGCGTGCATTTTGGATCTATACTACCATAACAGGGGAGAGATTTCGGCCCCAGAGTTCCTGGCTTCCAGTCCTGTGCTCACTCCATCCATCTCTCAGAAGTGGTAACAACGTATCTATTACAGTGGTATGTTCTCCCGGAGACACACGCGCACATTAGGAGATACCAGGCAGCAGCTGATGATGAGACACTGGGTTTATTCCAGGAATAGTCAATAGGTGGACGGCGGGCCAAATCTGGACTGCCAGATGCTTTTGAACTGACCGTGATCTTTTTATTTACTTATCATCACTATTGTTGTTATTTTTGTATTATTTTCTCTGGAGTCTGGACCTTGACTATACCTTGACCAAGAAATTTGGACCTTGACAAAAAATAGTTGGTTACCCCTGGTTTATTCCTTTCCCCTTTAAAGCGATCAGTATCTTTATAGCCTTTAGTCAGAAAGCAACTGAACGCTCCCATCATTTTACCACTTCAAGGAAGCTATAATAGCCGCCGAACGGAAGCGTGAGCTCCAAAGGCAACTGCTGGTTGAGAAGTTATTGGAAGGGTCTGTGATGGCAACAAAGCAAATATTTACAAATTTACAAACATATGGGAGAGACGGGGACCAACAGGTACTGCCTAAGCTTGGGCATCAATGCCTTGGGTAAAGAAAGGGCTCCCAGCGAAGGGATCTGATCCAATCATTCCCATCACAGGGTACATACGTCAGCACTATTACTTCAGGCTGTGACTAGCCATCTGGGCCCAATGCCTGGGTGTGGCCTGCCTCTTTCGGCCCCAAGTGAAAGCTGGGCTGCTCTGAACCCCAGCAGGGTTTGGCGTGGCCTTGGCTCTGCTGTGGTTTGTCGTTGGAAAGGGAGGATGTGGGCACTGTCTGGTAAAGCGGAGGTGGCGCTCGAGGAGAGAGGGTGTACGGTTACTCCAGAGAAGTAAGGAGAACCGATCTAGCCCATCTCCCCTGCACTGTAACAGGCTGGCTTCCGGAGGGCTGGCTGTGCCCAGATTCGAAAGCCTCCCGCAGCAGCTGGTGCTCACCCCCGAACTCTGGGAGAGAGACCAAAAGGGGCTACTAGAAAGGGGACACTCTGGTCAGGATCAACAGCCCTGAAGAGGCTACGTACCATTACTGTGATGCCATCCTTCTCCAGGGGAGTCTTGTCGTAGGTCACTTCGCAGACCCGCACTACCGTTGTCGCGCCGTACTTCTTCAGATCCTGGGAAGGGAAGGGGAGACCCTTTACTTACAGACACATCTTCTCTATAGCAATTCTACCAGAGGGCAGACAGGCACATGGCCTCTGTTCTCACCCGTGCTATTTGTGTGGCTTTCCTTCCAGATATAGACTCAGCCCGGCACTGAAACCTGTGCCAGCACAAATCACATGCTTCAGTGCCTTGCTGAGTCAGGACCAGGAGGTGCATGGTGGCATGCGCTGGGAGAGGTTCAGGGCTGCAAGAAGTTCTTTTACGGTCTCCTTTCTCCACATTTACATTCACGATCCCCTTAATCCTCCCACCAGCCCCTCCAACATGGCTTCCCCTGACCCCTTTCCAGTGTTAGCCCTGAAAACAAAATCCTCCAACACATACAATTGCACCCGTTATGGCATAGCTTGAATGTGGTCGGAGCACAAGCCCATAAAGCAAACCCCCCCAGCAATTCTGGCAGAAACCAACTCGCTGGGACCTTGGGCAAGTCAGCACCTCTGTGATGCTTTGGGGGTGCACTCAGACCAGTAAGGGGCTCTGTTAACACCTGCCCGGTAACCTCAGGTGCCCATACGCTGTTACTGAGCCCTGACACCAGCACCATGTCCACAGCATAAAGGTCTCCCCCGGCACTTTCATCACCCAGTTACTTCTCTGCAGGGTGACCCCAAAAGCCCTTCCAATTCTGAGTCTCCCCAAAGCTGTCTCCCTGCAGCATCCGGCCCCTCTTGCTGAACACTGTCAGAGGTAACACCAACTTCGATGCCTCCAAAGAGCCAGTCCATACAACAGCTTGATAGCTCAGCTGGGGTTAGACACGGCCCTTTAATACCCAGCACTGAGCTGGTTTGTGGTAAAACTTAAGTTTATTAACAAAGAACAGAGATTTGAGTGATTTCAAGCTCGCGTGAAAGAGATTCGAAAGGGCTACAAACAAAACCAAACCAGCACGCTTTCTAACGTCTACTCCTTAACTCCAGCCAGATATAGCTTCTTACTCACACCGAGTTGTTAGCATTCTCCAGCATGACTGGCTGTTCCAGCCAGGATCCACCCCCCCCGCTATGAAATGGGGATCGTGCCACAGGTCTGGCAGAGGTGCCGTGAAGATTCATTCACATTTGTACAATGAGGCGGAAGAGCTACGGAGGGGCTGTGTATTGGGATGGCGAAGCCTCCTTTTCCCTATGTAGGGAAATCTCTTTCTGAACATCGCTCCAGCAGGAACTTGGCAATGCGCGACCTTCCCGCGACTTCACTAGACGCTACGTTTCTCCACGTAAAGATGCGTGTCGGCAATTGAAATGTTTGTCAGCTCTGCCAACAATTAGTCTAGCGTGGATTCAGCTCGCTTTTTGTGGCAGGGCGGACTGTTCTGTGTTTATACAGCACCGAGCAGAGTGGGGCTTTGGCATACTTGGGGGGACTGTAACGAGTGGCCGGGTAGTTCAGTGGTTAGAGCAGTGGACTGGGATTCAGGAAGCCTGGGTTCTATTTCCCACTCTGCTACTGACCTGTCTCATGACCCTGAGCAAGTTACTTCACTGCTCCGTGCCCATTTCAGCTCTTCTGGGCAGGGAGCATCCTTCGCTCTGCGTTTGTACAGCACCTAGCCCAATGGGGCCCTGATCTTACTGGGGATCTTTAGGCATTGCCGTAATAAAATTAATAATAGTTACTGGCATCTAACCCTGCTCAGAGCAAGGCTCCATGACACTGTGGTCAAAGGGCCTGAGTCTCGCCTAAAGAGACTTGGACAAAAACCTTCATGTAAACAAGGTTTAAGAGGCAGACAAATGTTAAATCACAGGGCGTGAAGACAGAAAATCCGGTGTAGGCAAGTGTGGGATTTTTTTTTTAAGCTACAGCAAAAAAGGCTGGCCACTTTCACTGCTCCTTCAAGTAGTAAACACAAGCAAGGACATTTATTTTGAATCCAAGGAGGTATCCAAAAGCCCATCTTGTTGCCCACGAAACCAATCAACATCCACGGACAACATAACCAATTCTAGGAAAATGAACGGCTCAAAACAGCACGTTGGCTACGGTCCCAAGTGCTCAACAGAGCAATACCAGAGAGAGAATTTTTAGCTCCACGCACAGATAAAGTGAGCGCTCTCTCATCTGTCCTCGGCTACAGTGTGTTTCCGTCTGGCTCTGCGTGACACATGGCTTTGCCCCAAGTGATTCCGGTATGACTGCGCACTGCAAACGCTTCACCAGTTTCCCCCCGGGAATGTTTGCAGCAGACAGGAGACAACTGGTCCAATTAACAGGGCCCTGGATAGGAAGTCGGACCCGGAATCTATTCTTGGCTCTGCCACTGACCTGCAGAGTGACCTTGGGCAAGTCCCTGTTTCCTCTCGCACTCTCTGTCTTGTCTATTTCGATGACAAACTCTCTGAAGCAAGGAATGTCTCTTGCTCTAAGTGTGTACAGTGCTAGCAAATTGGGGCCCCCAATCTCAGGGTGGGGCACTAGGTGTATTATAGCAGCGTCTCGTTAACAATAATATAGTGAAGTATAAAATCTTGCAAGTTCCCTCCTTCCCCAATAAAACGCTCGCGGTGCATAAGAGCAGGGATCCAGACACACTGTAGAGGGGAGAGATGGAAGAGAAGAGCTACAGTACTAACTGGAGTGCAGACATGGGATTAACTGTCCCGCTGTACTTGGTTCTAGTGTGGCTTCAGCTGGAGTGCTGTGTCCAGTTCTGGGCACCACACTTGAGGAAAGATGTGGACAAACTGGAGAGCGTCCAGAAGATAACAACAAAAATGATCAAAGGTTTAGAAACCTGACCTACGAGAAAAGGTTACAAAATTGGGCATGATTAGTCTAGCGAAAAGCCGACTGAGAGGGGCCCCGATAACAGTCTTCAAATACGTTAAGGGCTGTTACGAAGAGGACGGTGATCAATTGCTCTTCATGTTCACTGAAGGTAGCCCCAGAAATAACGGGCTTAATCTGCAACAAGGGAGCTTTAGATTAGATAGTAGGAAAAACTTTCTAACTCTAAGGGTAGTTCAGCTCTGGAAGAGGTTTCCAAGGGAGATTGTGGAATCCCCGTCATTGGCGGTTTCTAAGCACAGGCTGGACAAACGCCTGTCCGGGACGGTCTAGGTTTATTTGGTCCTGCCTCAGCGCAGGGGACTGGACTTGATGACTTTGAGATCTCTTCCAGCCCTATATTCTATGATTCGATGATCCATCCTGTCTTCTGCCAGTGCAGTTATTGCCCGTAGTATATTCCTCCAGTGCTCTGTCCAGTACAATGTTTTAGCTGCTCAAGCAGTGGGGCTTCCACTGCATCCCTTGAGAAACATGCAGAAATATTTTGGTATAGACCGATGTATCATTGGGGGCGGGGGGAAAAAATCAGCCTCACTAGCATCTCAGAACACAAAAATGACCATCTAATAAGCACTATCCAGTGTGTTCGGCTTTCTATCTATTATGCTTCTATGGTCTCCGTCACCCCAGGATCTGAGCATCTCGCAATTGTGAATGTATTTATCCTCACAGCATCCTTGTGAGGTAGGGCAGTGCTCTTATCTCCATTTTACAGGGACAGAGAGACTAAGTGACTTTCCCATGGTTACAGAGGATGTCTGTGGCAGAGCAGAGAACTGAATCCAGGTGTCTCATGTCCTAGGCTTCCTTCCTAACCATTGGACCAAGCTTTGTCCCTTGCGCTGGAAAAGTGTGTGACCACACTGTGAACATGCAATTACCCAATGTTAGGTGCTCAGAGGACTGAGCAATTTTCTTCCCCAAATGGGGGCCAAAGTCAATGGTATTGTTTCTGTTTATATCAGGGCTGACTTTAGCCGTTAATGCTTTGCAGGTTCCTTACGATTATCACGGACAGTTTCACATCATCACTATGTTTTCTAACACGTGCAGGTGACATCTCCTGTCATGTTTTATTGCACACCCTGAACAGGTGTTAAAAAAAATAAACCTGACAAACAAAGCTAGTCGCAGCTCAAGAGAGATGACAGCTGCATCAGATTTCAGTACAGTAAGCAGTTAGCCAGTACGCGCTCACACACTTTAAGGACACGTACAAATCCAATGGTGCCAGATGTGAAGCCACTGATTCTTATGAACGTCAGCGCAATACACTTTTTAAACCACTGCCAGCTTGAAATTAATTTTTTTAACCTACTCTTGGTGCAAGTAACACTGAAGAGGACTATAAATAATGATTTCTTTATCCTTTGTGCATCTGACAGCATTTTGTGTAGTTAGTTTTACTGCTTTCCCTATATTTCCAGTCAGCGGGTCTATTTCCTGTGCTGTTTGATGCTTGTCTTTCACACAGCAAGAGAGGAGAGAAAACCCTTTTAATGAAATAGAAAAAGGTAATTGTAAAACCGCAAAATCTGGGAGGGGGACTCTGCGTGCGAGTAAAATTTGAAGCTACTTTAAACTCTTTTTGAAATGGACCTGATTTTAAAAGTTGACTGTGTCCCTTTAAGCAACACATACATAACAGGAGCACTCAGTATTGTAAAAGTGGCTATTAATACTCAACTGTAGGCATCAGAGCCTATGCCGAACACAGTAATAAAAAAGAAAAGTGACTTGATCACAGTCTAAGTGTCTACATGGGGAACAAATATTTGATAATGGGCTCTTCAATCTAGCAATCAAAGGGATAACACGATCCCTGGAAGTTGAAGCCAAACACATTCAGACTGGAAACAAGTCGTACTGTTTTTTTGTTTTGTTTTTTAAAACGGTGAGGGTAATTAGCCACTGGAATAACAAGTGTCATGGTGGATTCTCCCTCATTGACAATTTTTACATCGAAGTTGGATGTTTTTCTAAAAAACCTGCTCTAGAAATTATTTTGGAGACGGTCTAGGGCCTGTGCTATACAGGAGATCAGACTAGATCTTCACAGTGGTCCCTTCTGGCCTTAGATTCTACAAATCTATGAAAGTTGGGAGCCAGACTGCAGGCAACATGATGTGGAGGCTAAACTGCACACAATCCAACTGAACCCAAAATCCAACTGCATTTCAGTTTGTTGCTCTATGCCTAAAATAAACTGTGTCTAACCACTACTGCCCTTCTCACTTATGCAGGTGCAAGTCTTCAAAAGAAAGAATTTAGATTTGCTTTTACAACGCTGTGCAAAAAACCTCACTTCTGATGTGAGAGATTATCCTCTATAGGTTCCGGGTCCACCACTTGTTTCAGTTTCACTCACCAGTGCAGTAAGGATTTTGCAAATTACATAGGTCACCTTCTTGATCAACCTGGGAGTACTGTTGCTATATCCCTCAAGCAATTTAGTTGGATGCTACAGGTAGTCAGAGACTTGGTCCACTTCCAGCATGGCTTATCACCTGGAGCTTGGATTGGCCTGGAACTTCGATCTGACAAAACCAGCTAACGTACACTTTATGGGAAATCATCTGAATTGCTTCTTGCCTGAATGTGGCAAATCTACTCTCATACCAGATGCTTCACAAAGTTATGAGCAAACAGCGAACCCTAGGGAAAGGTTTATGGTGCTCTCCCTCCTCCCACCATGTCTAAAATGTTCCTCTTCCTTCTCCCTCCCACACTCCCAGTACCCGCCACCCTTCAAAATCTACATGGCTCACACCTGCTTTGGTGGGTCCTTTGCACATGTGAAAAGGAAGTCTCTAGTGTCAGCAGGTTTTTGCTTCTCAGGCTCTGAAGGGATTATTTTTTCTATCTGGAACAGTTTCTTCTTTGGCTGAAATGGGCGCACCAGCCATCTCCTGGGAAGAGCATCCTCAGAGCGTGTCTGTTTCCTAGTGCTTGACATACCGAACGGCAAGCCATTACAGCTGAGCATGCCAGCCCCAACTCATGCCTTTCCCAGGATGGTGCCAAGAAGCCTGAGAGGATGGTGAGAAGAGCGTGTCCAACGAGGTTTTATTTTATGCCACAAACATGGCTTGTGATTAGCCTCCTTATTTCCAACCTGTTGCAAACCAGTTGTTCAACGCCCCCTGCTTCAAGTCAGCTCTGCACGTGAAGAGTCCTGCGTACATGTCTCTTCACGCTGTGCTGAATTCTCAAAATTCTGTTTGTGCTGCTTCCCAGCTAGCAATGACTTAACACAGAGAGCACAGTTGACACTAACTCACATCGAACCAGTAAATAAAATGCTCTGTGGACTGTGCAAAAGAAAGAACAGTAAGCTAGATCTTACACCATGTTTCATCTGCTCTATAGGAATGCGCCACAGGTGGGCTGGTTTCGAATGGCAGATGAAGTTGGTTTGCATTTTAAATGCCTTGGGATCTTCTGGAATGGAAGATGCTGTATACATTTAAGGGGGGATATCATGTGTTCAATCAACAGAAGAACATGTGCATGTGAGCGAAATAAACTAGACTAGGCTCAGGTCTCCTTAGGAAAACTTAGCCTTTTACATTTTGACGACCACAGAACTAAAACGCTCTCCTCGGTGGAAGAACACGTGTGAAGCGGTGGATAATGCCAGACACACCACTTCTAATTTTACCACCCTGCACACTGCAATTACTTAATTTGCCAGTGGGATCCAGAGCCCAGACAGTGAGCTCATGAAGATTGTTATCTGTGCAGCATCACCAAAGCATCTCTGTCGCCTTTAGTCTGCTAAGCCTAATGAGGAACAGGAGCTGCCGAGCTGTGGCTGTGAGAATGTACTTTATAAAATTCCACAACTGGTGGGGGCGGATGGGAGGGGAGGGTGTGCGCGTCTGGACAGAGATGGGAGTTTACGCTGAATGCCATGGTGATCAAGTGCTATAACAAAGCAGTTTCGCACTCTGACTCGAACAGCAATACAGTTTGCGCTCCAGAACGTCTCAGTTCTGCCTCCAATAGAAGGTGAGGTACAAGACCAATGAACAAAGGGAGAACACAGCAGTTGAGATGTGTCTTCAATTCTTCTGAGGGGCCAGAAGGCTAAGCATGAACAGAGTGGCTCACAGCGATCTGGAAATGATAAACATCATGGATACCCAACCCTGAGATTTTGGCACGACAACACCTCCCCCTTGTCCTCCTGCAGACACAGCCACAGAAATATTTACAGAACAACGTAGTCAACTGACTGCAGTCACGGAGAATACAAAGAGAAACTTGAAAGTGGGAGCCCGGGTACACTAGACTGAGACAGACTTTCTCTAACGTGATTCTTGGATGTATACACAGGAGCTGTACTGATGCGACCCCTGCGGGAATACTGTGTCCAGTTCTGGTGCCCACAATTCAAGAATGATGTGGATAAATTGAAGAGGGTTCAAAGAAGAGCCACGAGAATAATGAAAGGACGGAAAACCTGTCTTGTAGGACAGAGTCCAGGAGCTCAATCTATTTAGTTTAATGGAGAGAAGGATAAGGGGTGACTTGATCAGTCTGTAAGTCTCTACATGGGGAACATACATTTGATAAGAGAGCTCTTCAATCTAGCAGACAAAGGGATAACAATATTCCGTGGCTGGAAACTGAAGATAAAGTCAGACTAGAAATAAAGCACATTTTTTTTTTTTTTTTTTTTAACAATAAGGGCAATTAACCATTGGAACAAGATTTGGGATGCTGATGGATTCTCCATCACTGGCCATTTTAAAATCGAGGTTGAATGTCTTTCTAAAGGATCAGCTCTACAGTAAGTATTACAGGGAGGTCCTATGGCCCGTGTTATGCATGAGGTCCAAGTAGATGACCACACTGACCCCTTCTGGCTTTATAATCTATGAATCTGGTCAAAGGCAACCCACTGTATCTATCTGTGGCTCAGGGCCTTTGTCTGGAAAATAGGCCTCAAAGGATCAGAGACTCTCCAAACTGCTGTGAAGACGGTGCTGTGTATTATGCACACTGAGCAACCTAGTGGTGAGTACTCGCAACGGGGAAAGCAGCATCCAATTTCAGATCCAGATATTACGAGCTCTTTTCCTCCTCGGCATGGGTGTTGTGCAAACAAGGAGCTGGGTGACAGGGTGCCCTGCACTCAGAACTGTTCTGTCACCCCAAATGAGTTCCCAGGTACTTGTGGTGAAAGGCTCTGGACTGACACGCCTGCAAAGGAAGAGCGTCATGGCCTGTATTACAGCACCACTGCTAGGCCCCAAATAACCAGGGACCATTTGTGCTGGGAGCTGGACATATACGTAGGGGGAGGCTGGCAGAGATGCTTAGAAGGCTGAATGCCCCATTTCCTTTCATTTTAAATCTCAGTCATAGATCTGAGTTGTAGTATAGAGAGTCCCTGCCAAAGACACTACAATCCTAGCAGATTAGGCAGACCAAGGGTAAGAGGAGACGTGGCAGTATTACTGGCCCCATTTTACAGATAGGGAGTTAAGGCACAGAGAGATTAAATGACTTGCCCAGGGGCACTTAGGCAGTTTGTTGCGGAGCCAGGAACTGAACTGAGATCTCCTAAGTCCCAGTCAAGCGACGGGCTAGAGTTGAACTGGTGTCCCTATGAGTTCAAACCTCTATATTCTATTACCAATTCCCCGAGCCACCCCCTCACCTTTCCTGCATTTCCTTCTTACCTCTATGAAGGTGCTGAGCGTGGCATTGGTGGGGTTGTGGGTAATCAGGAACCGCATGTTTTTGTAGCACACCTCCACAGGCGCAGGCCGATTCATACGGGCCATGGTGAAGTGAGGGTGGCAGGGGGAAATAAAGAAAGAAGGACGAGAAGTAAAAAAAAAAAACCTGGAGGTTTTTTTTGGGGGGGAAGTAATTTAAAAACCCCCCAACACAAATGTTGTGCAAATATTCCCAGCTCTTGGGAGTGTGTTAGATCCCCCAACACACACAAAAAGCCATGTGCTTGAAGCCAAATAATAATAATAAAAAATAATAATCTCCCTTTGTAGTGTCAGTTTCCTTTGGGTGTGCAATCCAGAGCCGCCGCCCTCCCTGCCTTCCGTGCCGTCCGGTTTCCTTGCTCTCTTCTCTAGAAAGGCCTCTGCATTGGGGAACCTCCTCACGTGCCGTTTCGCTCCGTCACGTTACCCCATCTGGATAGGTGGAGTACTTGGGAGCAGCGACGGGGGCCCGAAGCGGATCAGGCTGTGGCAGCAGCCAGCAGAAGTCCCTTGGCTGCAAGAGCCATGCACGGGAGATTTGAATGGTTAAACCCGAGGGCACGGACCCAGGGGCAGGCGAGCCGGCAGAGACCTTTCCTCAGTGGGCACAATGTTGTGCGTGGCAATATTCAAAGCTGCTCCCCGGCACCTCCATAAATCCACAGCCAGTCACCGGCAAAGAGAGCCTGGAAGGGAGAAACATACAGGATGAAATCACTTTGGGGTTGGGATCAAGTAAACAGAAAGCTATACCGGGCCATGTACTGCCAAAATTAGTAGGGGACGCAGCTGCTGCGTCTGAAGCCAAAGCCTTTTTCCACCCCAGCCCCGAGCAAAACACTTCAGGAATTGTCACACTAAGGGCCAGCTAAGGTGGACGTAATGAGATCAGATCAACTAACAGCAAACGCTCGCAATAGAAACCAGGCAGGCAAGTGGCCGGGCAGAGGGCTCCTTGCCAGGATGCCTGGGATCCATTCCCAGTTCTGCCCTTAGCAGGTAACCTTGGGGAAATCACTCTGTCTATTCTCTGCCTCTGTTTAGCAATAGGCGCGCCATCGGCCCAGGTCTGACGATGCTTTGAGGCTGAGCGACTGTGACGTGTGTTTGTCGGGTGAAAGGTGTTAGAGGAACACACAAGATGCACTAGTCACCCTGTACATCCTCTGCAAACCCTGCTCTCTCGCGATTGTGCCAAGCAGAGAAACTCGTGAATGGCTCGTCTTCTGGGAAGGCCCATTTTCAAATATTGCTAGCCAGCTGCCCGTCCCGGTGATGGGTGGCTGAGCTCTAGCACGGCCCGTTGGGATACCCCACGGGACGGACAAACACAGACTGAGCATCCACAGCGCTCAGCCAAGTAATTATCTGCTTGGAAAACATTCACCTGCTATTTGACCCGTGAGCGCAGGAAGCAGCTCGACAACGAAGACACCCGTCCCTTCAAAGAAAGGCTCCTTCCCCTCCCCGAGCCTGACAGCGCGTGCCTGATGGCGGGTCTGGGAGGAGAGGGCTAAGAGTCCAAGGCCCAGTACTGGAAATGCTCTCCCCCTCCTGCCCAGCACCCAACACATGGATCTGCGAAGCCAGAGCTCAGCTCTCTGAACGGTGCTAGAAGCCCGACCGTGCTCTGGGAAAGAAGCAGGGTGGCGTTCTCCCCATGGTGCACAGGCCCACACAGGTGGGCAACTGCCTCTACACCACCTGGGGCTTCCTTACGACTGGCACACACCTCATTGCCACAACACACTGCAATTGGCTTTCACAGATGCAGGTGGAACCACACCGTACCCTGCTGCTAACGGCACGTGGGAATCGAGCAGCAAGCTCTCCTAACAAGTTGGGATCTGGTCCGATGATGATCACAGCACATCCTTACCCTGGTTGGATTGGCAGGGTGATGAGGGGGAGTGTCCACTGAGAGGGCGGAGCAGCTCACTGGAAAGGGGGCTTGCATTCATCGGCTTAGGGTACGTCTTCACTACCCGCCGTATCGGCGGGCAGCAATCAATTTATCCGGGATCGATATATCGCGTCTCGTTAAGACACAATATATCAATCCCCGAACGCGCTCACCGTCGACTCCGGAACTCCACCAGAGCGAGCGGCGGTAGCGCAGTCGACGGGGGAACCGCGGCCGTCGATCCCGCGCCGTGTGGACCCCAGGTAATTTGATCTAAGATACTTTGACTTCAGCTACGCTATTCGCATAGCTGAAGTTGCGTATCTTAGATCAATTCCCCCCCCAGTGTAGACCAGCCCTCAGCCTAGGACGGGAAGGGTGGTCAGCAGGTCACAGGTGGAAGTTAAACTGCCCGGCTTAGCTCTGATAAACTCACAGCAAGGCATTTCTAGCTGGCTCCATCTGAATGCGAAGGCTTCCTTATGAGAGGCACCGGCGTCTGCGCTCCAGTGCAAGCCATTTCTATTAAAAAACCTGAGACAGCTGCAGAGAAACCCAGCTGTCTGCTCTGTGGGGGGAAAGAGAGTGGATCCATCCCACGAGCCTTGGAAACGTGCAAGAACAACTTGCTACAACCGAGAAACAGTTACCGCATCCTCGGAGGTGGGAGGGCAGAGGCGGCACTGGGACCTTCGGGAAGGGTTGGGGGGTTTAAGCCATCAGAGCATGGACTCAGGATTTCTTTAGCAGCTTCGCTCACCCGAACTGTCCCTGAGAAGATAACAACCTGCTCTGCTGCGTAGCTTCCCCCTGCAGGAGCAGCAGCGCAGGAAGGCAGCTGTTAGGAAAGGTCTCCCTTGCTCTGGGACAATACCATTTCTCATTTGTATGATTTAAAGGGACAGCAACAAGGGTTACACATTTCATCTGCGCTGCTATTTCCCCATTAAATCCCCCTGCCAAATTTGAACACTTCCGTGCTCCAGCTTACCTCTGTCCCCACATGCTGTGCCAGGAGCCCCCTATGTCTGATCCACCCTGCAACAGTCCATCCTTTACAGAGTCAATACTGGAGCAGGATTTGAACACGGGCTTGGGTATGCCAGGACAGTATCACATGGGTCCTTTTAAAAAGGCATTTAGAAGTAACAGCTGCTTAGTTCTTTCCATAGATCCCAAAGCACTTTACGAAGCGGCGTAAGGACTATCTGACAAACACACCAAGGTGCGGAAAGAATTGCCCCAGGGCCCAATATGTTGGGCTGGGAATGGAATTTAGGTCTTCTGGGTACCAGTCCAGGGCCCCGTCCCCTGCAGCATGCTGCCTCCTGATCTGTGCTGTGATGTTCGCACACATTATCTGACCTGTGCTAAGTACACCAGACACTTCAAACATGTTAGCTAGCATGTGTTAACCAGTATGTGCTAACAGCACACCCTTCCCTCCTAGCCCGGACAGCCACAGGAACAATCCAGACTCGGGACTCAGCAAAGGACAGCAGAAGAACTTACCCCACTCCCTCTGCAGACACATCTAGTGCCCCATCACCATGGTATCTAGGCCCTGCCGCCACCGCCCCACAGATACAGTGCTGCACAATTGGCCATGGCCATTACGGGGGTATTGCCTGCCTGAGGCTTACGCCACAGGTCATGGTGAAAGCTCTGCGCCCTCCGGTCTCATCCAACACAGCAAGTTCTAATATTGAGGCAGCCTGTGCATCCAGGGGAGAAAACCAACCTAGCAAGGAAAGATGTCAAGGATTCCAGCACAGGGAAAACACTGGGTCAGGGTTTCGAGTTCCTGGGGGAGGGAGGGGGAAAAGATCTCACAGGGTGGATAATCTTAAATCCAAAGAAAAGATCAGATTCTTTAGGCCAGCAGACTCCAGATGCATCACAAAAGGCCATCGCTCCCCCTATAAGAGAGAGAGACTCCTAAATTATACCTGCCTACCAAAGGGCATTTCAAGCCTGAAGTTTTCTTCTAACTAGGTACATATATGGCCCTAACACCCTAGTATCTGAGGCCTCAATCACTGAGGGGTTTTATCTTCACAACACGCCTGGGAGGGAGGAAGTAGCTCAACTTTACAGGGGGAAGGAAGGCAGAGAAGGTATGTCTACACAGCAAAACAAACAAACAAAAAAACCCCACCTCACGGCAGCAAGTCTCAGACTTGGGCTTGTGCAACTGGGCTAAAACACAGCAGTGTTGACATTCCTGCTCGGGCTGGAGCTGGGCTCTGAACCCCGGTGAGGGGCTGGGTCTCAGAGCCTGGCCTCCAGACTGAGTGGGAACATCTACGGTGCTATTTTTAGCCCAATAGCTACCGCCCCATGAGCCCGAGTCAGTTGACCGGGATTCTGAGACTCACTGCTGTGAGGTTTGGGTTTTTTTTTTTTTTTTTTTTTTGCTATGCAGACGTACCCAGAGAGACTCGGTGACTGACTTACCCTAAGTCACACAGGAAATATCTGTGCAGGGCCGGGAACTGAGCCCAGCTCGCACACCGAGTCCCCCTCCAGCTCTTCGTTACTGCCCTTATCCCCGTGTCACAGAGTGGGGGAAATCAGGGCCCTGCACCCCTCTTTCTGCGATTTACCGTGACTTTTAGCCAGCCAGTAAAACAGAAGGTTTATTAGACGGCCGGAACGCAGTCCCAAGCAGAGCTTGTAGGTACAACCAGGACCCCTTAGTTAAGTTCTTCTGGGGGGGAGGGGGGGTTAGGGAGCTTGGACCCCAGCTTTGGGGTTTTTTGTGTTTTACCACCCAGTCCAAAACTGAAAGCAAAACCCCCTCTAGCTGTCTCTCTCCCCCTTCCCCCAGCTCCTTTTCTCCCTTTGTCCAGTTTTCCGGGCAAAGGTGTTACCTGGCACCACCCCCCTCCTGGCTTGGGTTATAAGCTCAGGTAACTCTTAAGTAAAATCATTCCCTGCTAGCCCATCCCCAATGCAGACAGTCCCAGTAAAACTAGACGACATTCCCAGGTCAAGCCGCCCCACTCCCTACTGCGTCACACCCCGCAATCGGGGTTTTCTTGTCCTTTGAGTAACTCAAACAAACACGCTCTGCGTGAACGAGCCGGCTGGGGGCGATTAGCGGCAGGTTCTGCCTGAGCTCTAGCCCTATTTTTAGGCAGCTCGACAGCATTTTCACAAACGCAGCCTCTGCAACTCCACTGAAAGCCACAAGGACCCCAGATATCCTGAAAAGCTAAGCGTCCATTCTAACAAGCAAGATACTGTACCAAGGTGACCATCATAGAAAGAGAGGAAGGCGGCGGGACCCTGGATTCAATTCCTGCCTCTGCCACGTTCCTAGTGTGACTTTAGGTAAGTCAGTCCCTTAAACTCTCTTCCCCCTCTGTACACTGGGGATACGAGCACCGGGACGTTAGATAAACACATTAGCAACTGTGAGGCACTAATATAGAATATCAGGGTTGGAAGGGACCTCAGGAGGTCATCTAGTCCGGCCCCCTGCTCAAAGCAGGACCAATCCCCAGACAGATTTTTGTCCCAGATCCCTAAATGGCCCCCTCAAGGATTGAACTCACAACCCTGGGTTTAGCAGGCCAATGCTCAAACCACTATCTTGGGGCCCATATGAGTAACCAAGATAGAATGATAAATGGGCTGGTTGGTCCAGGTGAAATGTCTCCTTTCACAGCCCAAAAGCCTCATCAATTACAAGCAGCCAGCCGGGACTCCCGGGCATGAAAAATGGCAGCGTTTCAGAAAGGAGCCGGACCGGTTACTGAGGCCCGCGCAGAAGTGGCT